ATTTATTGAAAAAAATAAAAATAAAAATTATCCATTCTATATAATATTTAATAATTTTAAAAATAATGATATAACTGTTATTAGATTGATAACTTATAATATTCCTAGTGTAGGAACTTACACATCATCATATATGTAGGAATTAACGTATGTAATTGTCTACCTGTTACTCTCGTGTAGGAACTTACGATTCCCCCTGTAGATAACTTATGATTTTGACCGTCTCGTGCATGCACTTTTGGAAGAAAAAGTTCTATAGGTACAGCTCTAGTAGTTACAATAGAACTTGGGATCTATTGGCTGATGTCTTTATTTATTATATTTGTGCATTGTGCTACGTACTGACGCTACTTCACTTTATACATAATCATATTGTTATTATGTACGAGGTTTAGCACACAATTATAATATTTTAAATCATCTTGTCATATAACGCAGACTCCGCGAAAACAATAACTACTAGTTATAACTATAACCTTTGAGCATACGTAGATCTGAAATGGTTGAAATAACCAATTTCAGAGAATTGAAGGCATAACAATTAAAGTGAAAAATAATGTAACAAAATTGATTTGGCAATATGAAATATGGGCATTGATATACACGCGTAAAGATCAAATGATAGGCCAACCACATGCGTTAGACTGTAGGTACCAGAGACTTCCGAGGGAATGAACGACCACCGTAAGAGTAACAGCACTTACTGTAGGAGACAAGACGAGTAAAGGGATACGCTTATATAAGGAAGATCCAGCYTGCCCATTTTTGGACGTGATTGTASTAAACTAGTACGAGCACCTCCATGACAGTTTGTTTTTTAAATTAATTGTTTGAACAAATTTAGTCAAATCGTATTTATCTAATTATTTTATTTCTTTTAGTGAACTTTAATTAAATTTATTGTCATTCGTAGAACATGTTTAATAGTATACAGTTAAAATATCAATGTGTTCAAGTTAAATAAATTATAAAAGAAATAACATATCTACTTATCCARTCCTATCGTCATMACCTGGAGGTCACCACCTAACCTCACCGTAGAGATACGCTACACTTATTAAGCCAGGTTGCTTGATAAATGTAATAGTTAAATACAATTTAATGGACAAATTATGGGCCTCTAAATATCATACCTATTTAAGGGACTATTACTCGCCATTGTTTCATAAATAGTTTAGTCTATGCAGTTCGGCATAATATGCATTGTTAATTATTAATTTATAATCTATCGTTCGCTATCGAGTGACAATTTATCGTTCGAGCATTTTGGCCAAGTTAAAGATAAAGCTACTTGTCACGCTAAATAATTTAAAAATAAATATGCCACTTAYAATAAGATTTTAACCGTCATATCAAGGTCAAATGGCTATATTAATATTGTTCGAGAAAATTATATTTTGTAGAACTAGCTAATATTTGTTTTATATTTAATAGTATTTTTTCAAAACAATATCTCTTACGACTAAAGTTGAAGTTATTTAGGTAAATTTTCATAAAATAATTTGTAGTAAACGTTCTCAATTATTTTTAAAATAGTTCAATAATTGTGCACGTTTGTGAACTATTATTATTATACAGATTTGGATCAGGTCCGATAAATAAAAACTCAAACATTTTTTTTGTATATAAGTACACGTACATTAGTCATTAACGAGTAACAAGGTCACGCATGTAGCTATTTAGAACACTAACCAATTTGCAATTCTATTTTGTTACTTTTACCCTAATGATCTCGGACATGTTAAGTATAAATGCTAATATGTTTCCTTAAAAGATCAGCCATAAGAAAGCCATGGATAGGTGGAACGATAATTATTATACTGTTGTCGATCGTGAAAAATATTATATTTTATTATTTTCATTAAATGGGTGAAGATTTAAAAATATACACCATACATAAATTATTATCGTATTTTTATTGTTTTAACTTTCGTATATAAAATGAAATGTGTATAAGCTTCTATAGTTTAATGTTAATGTAGCAAAACTATAAAAATACGTGACTTTTATTTTTACTATTTTATATTGGTCCATATTTGTGCATCAGATTTTTGTTTTTTTAAATAAAATATATTCTTGCATTCAATAATACTATTGCAACAACTCTGCCATGTTTATATATTATATGTGTATGACGTATGTATAATATTAAGATTTCTATATAGTATGGGCATTATTTCTCAAATATTTTATTAGTTGTATTATATAAGACAGATGTATTACAGCCTACAGGTATCATATGTTTTTAGTTATATTAAGATCATTTTAATTTTTTTTTCACTTATAATAATATACTCATCATTAATTTGTCTTAGTATAATAAAACGACATGAATGATTTGTAGTAGATAAATATATAAATAAAACTTGTATATAGTAACTATTAAGATATTATTAGATAAAAATACTGGAATTTAGAATATATTATTGTCTTGTGTTTAATAATGGTTCGTGTACCATTTTTAAATTAACTATTTTGGATGTATTGTAATGTTAATGAAATGCAATAGGTAGGTACTACACGTGTATTAATGAAAATGCATATTTCCATTAAAAGTATTTGATACTATGCTCGATATAGTGCCTGTGTAGTATACTATTACGATTCCCAATATCATATTATAATTATAATAATAGAATAGTTAATTGGCGATGATTTGAACTCTGGTAGATACGCAGTCTATCACAGCTCGCATTCGGTAAAAAAAATATCATTCCCAATCAGTCCAAGGATGATAAACAAATAATCATTGAAATCTACCATAATTTTTATTATATTATTATCACCAAAAACACAGCTATTTTTTCTGTTTTGACATTATCTTTCCATTCTGTTGACTGTCATCGTMCGTTAACCATAAATCATGTCCATATGTACAAAAATAATAAACTACACATCACGACGATATTATAACAACATAACATTAGTAGTTAGTAATAAATTATTAAAAATAAACATTCAAAATTATCTATCACAATATGTTTATATCTAGTATATTATATATATATATATATATATAAATAAATATAAAACATATATATAGGGTGTCCCGCGAGGATTTACCCATTGCGATATCTCACGAAATAATATACAGTTGTAATCAATGTTAATTAAATAATTTGATATCCATATTATGTTAATCTTATTTATAACATGTATAAAAAAAAATATGCGTAAACATATCCAAAAAGTAACCAGTAATAAATAATTATAAATGGTTTTATGCATTTTATAATGAATTATTGTAAAAATGTATTATTTATTTAAATTCGAATGGCTCTCATTCAAATTTGGTGACGTTTCCAAATTAGGCATAATTTAATTTAATGATTGTATTAAAAAAAATTGAAAGTAATTTAATTTTGCTTGAGCTAAGAGTTTTTAATAATAATTTAGTCCAAATTCAAACAGATTCAATGCAATTAATAATGAAATAGACGAACAAATCATAAAATACATATGAAAAATGCCCTAATATGTTAATTAATGCATACCATCAATAGGYAAAAAATAAAACGAGATTATAATATAATTTTTAAAMATTTTTAGGTTTATAAAGCTGGCTAATTTCACTTAAATAAATAATTAATTCGTCAGGGGTCTTGTTATTTTTATAATTGTTATATAAACTAATAGTTTTATTATTGAGTAGCTTATCTTTTTTGCGATTTTATTAATAKAACCTTTTTGGACGATTGAATACAATTTTGTGGAAGTTTCGGCTTGCGTTTGAATTAAAACAGAAATGACTACTGGAACTGCAGGAGGACACGCATAAAACTGTCCGTTAAAATTACRATGAAAACATTCCGGACCATTTGTAGTTCTTAAATTAAAAGTGAAAATGTAAATTTYAGTTAGAAAAAAAATGTCTTCATTCAGAACGTACTTCGTTTACTGGTTCCATGAGGATCAATGATATTATTACAGAATATACCAGTAGGTAACTCAACTACATACATGTGAGCATATAAGTATGGTGGTAATTCAAAATTACGATAAAAGATGAAATAATCAGATAAATACATTAATACGTTAATTATCTTAGAATTTCTATCATCATGTTATTAAATTTGGCAATATTRCACAATCGTGTAATCGTATTTAACACGCGCAATCGTAGACCAAAAGGGTACGCGCGCAATAGTAATGYGGAAAATCGAATTCTACCCTTATGAGCACATCTATAGCTTTTCTAAAAACATCGACAGATTTTCATAAACACTAACAACCATTCCGCAAAGACGTCCTGATTTTCCATAAGGAACTGCCTACTCTCAATAAGAACTATCAAGCTTTTAGTAAAGATAATTTGTTACAAAACTGTAGATAATGACYAATGACGAAACAGTTTTTAATATTATTACGATATTTTATAATCGATTATACGTATCTATATTGCATACACTAAGCGCCGTGTTACATTCAATATTATAATTTATAATTAAACATGCTTAATCTAAAATATATATTTCATATTTTKTTGTACAAAATTCCTCACTGTAGTTTCAATTACATTAACAACTTTCATATAATTTTATAGTATGAGCTAAGGCAAGAAAAGATAAAATATTATTCTAATAACTATRTTTGGTAAACTAACCAAACTATTATGAGTTTAATGTATGTATGTATGTATAATGTATATATATATGTATCGTATGTATAATGTGTATGTATGTATGTGTGTATGTATCTTATATAGGACTAATAAATGATTTAAACATTTTTAAGTTAAGTAAGTTTTCTATGTAAATAAAATATAAAACATTGTGTGTCAACATCATATTATGGGTTATTTTTTTTTTTTTTGTGGGAGTGTGTTTCAATTTCTTATATAAACATATTAACTAGTGTGAAAATCACCAATATAATCAATGATCCACTCATTACAATCAATCATAATAATTTAAAATAGGAAATATAACTTAAATGTTTACGTTAGTCGACCTACACTATACATAGGTTGATTCACCAAATATGCTCACATGTTCMTCAATAATAGAGTTAGGTACTTCAAATATAATAATTAACTTAATACCAAATTTTCAAATTCTTGAGACTTTTTTTTAATACTTATTGAGTTTTTTGTGACATTTGTRACATAAAATTTACAACCCTTTTTCACATTCTTTGTCCGGTAAATTTTCGAATTTTATTGATTATTTAATCTGTTTTACGTGAAACTAGTAGCTTTTTAATCAAGTAATAAACGTCTGTGGTTCGATACCTAGCTGAAGACAACATTTTTAAAATTCATTTGATTATTRATTGTGTTACATATTATAATATTATATAACTGTTACCTATGTGGTTTATATTCTTAAAGAATAAAACAAATTAAATGTAAACAATTTAAAAATGTTATATGTCATTTACTAAAACTTAAGGTATAGATCTGGTAGAGTGTATTATAGAGACAGATCAATACAGTGATTTAATAGGAAAAAAAATAAAGGAGGACTCTAAATTAAGTTGAACAATAGGGTTCCAAAGAAAATCAATATAATAGTAACAAATTATGATTTAACTCAGATAATATATTAAAATAAAATTATATATTTTAGTTTACTGATGACAGGTATAGTAAAACCATGACTATATGTTACTTAAATTAAAAAATTCCAAAAATCAAGATTTGTATAAATTCATCGTTAAAACGGGAATAATTATGATCGTTAAATTATCTGTACAGCATTTGGGTACTCTCGCGCGTATAATCATAATGATGATGAAGATAATAATAAAATATTATTAATATTGTAAGTAACCTTGTGCTACACTTTAGTGGTTTCAAACCATTTTGATGTGACCCGAAATAGTTTAAAAAAAATTTAATATTTATTATTATTATTGAACGATAAACATTTTTATTCTATCATAAATTTTWGTTTTTATTTAAATATCAATATCTGCATAATATTATTTGACATTCGTGATGTTTTATTCTTAAAATGTAATGTATGTTTTTTTTTAGATTTAATTAATTCAAATACTGTACATTCCGTAATGTATATTTTTTTTTGTAATACCTATACATGTAGAACTAAATTGCATTAATAATTTGAATTTGCTACATTTTGTTTTTATTTATTTTGTGTTTTTTTAGTAGTAAATTTATAGATTTAAGACGAGAAAATCTCTGTGAAAATATTTTGCCCTTGATGTATAAATATATTGGCCGCTGGCYATTTGAATTTCAGATTTTAAAGCTACAGAATGCGTAAGTATACGTAAGAGTGCAGGGAGATATAATGTTTAATATTGTTTTGGGTACCTATACGTGGCCTGTAACCAGGAAATTCAACGAGTTTTCCTTTGAAATATATGCCATTCGGGTCATTGGCGTTAACGGATCGGAACGAGACGATTGGGCTCAAACATCACGTTTAGGTGGAAAATGCCTATCGAATTACTCATCGAAAGCTTTTCTTTTTGTTCACAATAAAAACGCTTCTAAAAACGCTTATTATGGTATAATATATAATGATAATATATCAATATATATTATATAAATATATAATATATACATTAATTTAATACCTATATATAAATATGTCTGATAATAAAATGTATGAATATGGCCATATGAATATAAAATGAGTGAGTCATAATTATAAACACATTGTAATTTGTTTATAAATCAACAATAATATTTTTAAATAACTGTTTCTGTATCGGTTGAATGCAATATTCTATAATATTATAAGAATAAAATAGTAACAGATTTTACAAAATTTGTTTTTATTTTGAATGGAAAAATCTAATTTAATGATTATATATTATACATTTATACATAACAGTATATTATTTATTTTCAGGTGGTATAGAMACTGCTATCTATTCTATACGTGCGGATATTGAAATGAGTTTTTGAATTATAGTTAACAGATGGCGTGGCCGGTTTACTCATGCTCTTTTCACTATAATATTTTACCGATGTTATGTTACAATGTTAAGACATTACTTGCACATATGATTTAAAACAGTATTATTTAATTTATGGTAAAGACATAGTTAGTGGCTACAAGAAAGTGTCACATTTTTTACTATATAGAAATTAGACATCGATAATATTGTTTAATAATTAGAATACAGGAAAMGAATAATTGAAAACGAAGTGTTTGTTATATTATTTARCGATATAACTGTTTGGTTATAGAATGCTTTAACTAACTTTACAGCTGACTTGGTGAATATTTTTTATTTTTTAGGGTGGGAGAGATGTGTCAAATTTTTTTAGGCAGGACTTATTGAGTAGATATTATGTGTTAGTTTGCGGGGTCTCAGAAACAGTTCAATTTTAAGTCTATTGATGAGTCTGAATCATTAGATAAATGCATAAACCATGGACTAGATAATTAGTTTTTGCCACAAGGTCCTATTCTATTGCATAGCTTAAACAACCTTCAAACTAGACTTCTATAATTTACTATAAAACAGAGAAGGATTAACAATTAATATTTTTGAAGAGTTACATTAGGAACCTGAAATTGTTCGTATGCCATCAAAATCGATGACGTCGGTAAGAAACATTGAAAAATAATGATGTACTGAACCGCTATAACGTATAAAATTATCGGTTTTTACTTTTTTTTTCTTGTCTGCGGCCCACCATTTTTGTGACTTCTAGTATAGACTACAGACTATATACTTAGTTACAGCTCTAATATGACGAATTCCCAAATCGTTAACAACTGTGTGTAGTTTATATATATTCAAATTATAAAATGGTTCAAACGTGCAATTCAGTTGGCAAGCTTCGAGTATGTCATACTTTGAGATAATTACCAAAATACAGCTGTAACGTAATAAAATATGCCAAAACGGGGTAGCCCATACCGGTTAACTGAAGAAAATGTAAACACAACTATTTATTCAAACTTTTATATATTACACACACACACACACACACACATACACATATCTTATATTTATATACATAAATGTGAAAACAATTGATTGGTGACTCATCTGTGTATAATAATATGTTCAAGATATACGTATGATTATGATAAAATATACCATCATCAGTAATAAATTTAACTGTTGTTCGTCGCACCTTCATCGGTGTACATTTTAATCTATGCGTGGTATGCAATTTGTGTACACACAGGTTCATCACCATGATCGAAAAATCGTGGGTTTGAAATATAAGTTTAATATAGGGTTCTGTAATATTATAGAAATCTTTGTAGAACCAAAAATATAGTATGTAATTGCCAATTGGTCAATCAAATCAATATATATATATATGTAAGTCGAAAACAAWGTTTGTTGTGCTGACAATTATTTATTAATAAAATTGCTAAAATAATGTCGWAAAAATGTTTTTGTAAARTATTTTTTWAAAAGTATCATCAGAAAGAATACTACAACTAATGATATATCGGAGAAAAGTCAAATARGTACCCTACTATTAAAAAAATACGGCATAAGTCAAATTAGGTTTTAATATATTATGTACCATGTGTTACACGACTGAGTTGACAAAATATTATTCGATTTGGTAACTATTTATTAGCATTGTCATTACACATTTTTTTATGTGTAGAGTAATTATTTTAATATCGCGTTGATTTTTATAATGCCTATCTTAAGAATAACGGTGGATATCTGTATAGAATAAATATATTTGTATAGGTCTTCAAATATGTTTAGTAAAACTCATGAGGAGCTRCATTAATTGCAATAATTATAGTGCATAATTAATTTTTTTGAACGAAAAGTTTTAATATACTGATGAGATATTATTTCTACAATAATAGGTAACAGAAGTGTTGTTGTAGTTTTGATGAGTCTATTATATTAATACACACCTTTAATAAATATTAATATTTTTAAAAACGTATTGGTTTACTATAGTAAAAATAAATATTACAAAATGATTTTTTATTTAGGTATTTTCATTGTTATTTAGATTTAAGGCTTTAACTACACATGGGTTTTCATGCTTWTAGCG